CATTGTTCTTCCTCTTTCTTCTTCTCTTCTTCTCTTCTCCTCTTCTCTTCACCCTACTTTTCCATTTTTCTTCTTCTTCTTAGTTAGGGATTAAACTTGTAACTCGAATTCGACTCTTGGATTGGATTAATTGTAAGTTTTTTCATCTTGTTTAATTCATGAGAATGATTATTTGGGGTGAATTGCTTGATTGTGTTGAATTCATGTTACATAGCTAATTTTTATTGCTAGGGATAGGGGATAATTATTCTGGTTTAATTCGTATCTCTCGGGCTTGAATTGTTCGTTCTTATGTGGGTTGTTTTGATTAGGAATTGATGAAATCTTGTTTGATTGATTGATATAATAGAAGAGTGACACTTCGATCTTGCAATTGGAAACGAATGAATATTGAATAGTTGAGTTAGGATTTTGTTGATTCTAAATGATTAGTCGATTAAACACCTTCTAATTGAATTAGCGATTTTCATAACCGAAAGGGGAGAAGTCGTAGACCTAGGCTCATATGAGGTAGATGATTTCGTAATTAAATAATCTATGGTTTTGGATTGAAATACATGCTTGTCGGTGTCTTGTCCCTTGTTACGAAAAGTTATTGGGATTGGATAATTGACATGTATTGTATGCTCGAGCTTGTTCATCTATGTTCAATCTCTTGTTACGAAGAGTTATTGGGAGCGAACCGCTAGATGTCTAAGCGAGAGTGTCAATCTCGAACAGAACGATTAATTGCCCGGGTTTGCAAGAACTTGAATTAATTATCCCCGATTCCCTAACTTCTCCATCTTTGTTTCGTTCATATTTTTAGGTAGATTATTGTTTTTAGTTATTCCTTAGTTGATAATTCATCCTATCTCTATCTGATTAGAATGTTTAGGAGTTGTCTTCATTTTGTGTGTTATCAATACCAAAGCTGAATTCCGAACCACCTTCCTCGTGAGATCGACCCGGGGAACGAATCTTTCGATTCGGTACTTGGTAAAAATAATTTGCTACAACAACAAACACTAATCAACATTAACATCATGAGGCTACATTGGATTAAGGGATTTATTGGATTTGAAATGTATAGATTTTAAATTTATAAGTTCAAATCTCCATAAATGTATGATGATAATAGAAGTTTGAGGATTTGAAATTCATGCAAAATAGATTTTAGTCATTATTTTAAAAGATTTTAAATGGCTCATTAAATCTAGTCATTCGAAATTCACTGTTTATCCCAACGTTAATGACCACACCATCCACGAGTATGACTCTTCGTTTAGAATAATCGCAATCGCGAGTCAACACCTTAACGATAAGAATCGTGTATATTCACAAAACAAACAAGACTAGAGCAACAGTCACTCAACCGAATAAACAACCAATGGTCGAATAAATAGTTAAACTGTTGAATCTAATTAGGAGGAATACCGAGACGACAACCTAGAACCAACCTAACAACAGAAATAAACTTCTAGAGGGAGACTATACCAAAAGCTGCCACAGGTGGAGATTACACCAGCGCACTCCTAACGGAAGAGAAAAAAATAAAACACAACCTAACAAAGAAAAAACACAAACATGAACAAACAAAACTAAACTCAAACAAAAACAACCCTTCCCACAGCCGACAAAACACCAAGACACGCCGGTGGCACCACAGCCGACCACCCCACCAAACTGGCCCACGCCCGAGAATCCACTCTAGATATTACAACATAATGCCTAACTGGACCCTAACCCTGAGAACACGACCCCGATTCCAGGCAGTCAACCACGACCCGCAACGGGAAGAATGTCGTGCTAACCCCCTTAACACACCGCCGCCCCAACCCCAGTACAAACGACAGGCCGGACTCGGAGACGCTCACCAGTCCTTTAATCCGAGCACCAGTGGAGAAAGCCCGACGAACCGCCACGCCGACCACCCGACCAAAACCACCAGGCAGCCTGAGACGTAGCCTCCCCCCAAAAAACACATCAACACGAACATCACAACAACACTCAGAGGCTGAAGACGCCACCTCAAAAAGACACGAGAACACGAATACCGTCTGAGTTGCTCTCCACAACAAGGACGACATCAACACGAGAATAGGGGGAAGGCCGCTTCGGCCATAGCCAACAGCTGACGAGATGATTGACGCCCAACTGGGGGAAGCACACTCGCAAATTGAAGGCCAAACGAAGTGACAGGCAATTACGAATTTTTTTCGTCAATTTGGGGGAGCCTAATATCTCCCATTCAAGAAGTTTAGAAGTAGCAAATTTAAATTTAAAAGAATTCCAAATCAAGTAATTTCAAATTCCTCAATTTGAAATCTCATATTTTATCAATGAGGAAATTTCATTGTAGGGCTTGATTTTTTATTATTTTGCCATAATAAGGCCTGAATTTTTAATTTTTTTATTTAAAGACTTTTATTTTAGGCTATTCTCAATATAAGACATACTTTTACATTCTACTTTCAATTTAAGACTCCATATCACTTTGTATTTTGATCTAATTTATGTAAACAACAATATATTTTTTTTATATTTATTTTTTAAATTCTTATAATGTAAAATATTAAATATTTTTAGTAAAATTACCTATTAAGATAATTATAATTTACACTTATGCAAAAGCTTACTGAAATTTATTTCAAAAATTAAAAATTAAATTTTAACTTAATTTTAATCTAAATATGTGATAACATTAAACTATAAACTATTTAGTAAAATAATTGTATTTTTTAAAATAAACTTATAGAAAATATTATTTGTGAATAAAATTTATATTTATGAAAAAGTTAAGAATATATAAAATTTATACTTATAATAATAGTATTAAATTTATTTGTAAAACTAGCTTCGTAAGAAAATTAATTCACATAAATACATTTATGTGAATTAATTTATGTGAGTTCACATAAATACATTTATATGAATTAATTTTCTTACTAAAGTAATTTTATTAAAACTATTCATAATTATTTAAAAAAATAATATTTAAAATAATATTATTTTGGTTTACATATTTAAGTAAAAATATAATGTTAGTTGATGTCTTAAATCGAGAACTAAAATATAAAAGTAGACTTTAATTATATTGAGAATGACTTAAAATTGAAACTGTCAAATGAAAAAGTTAAAAAATCATACCTTACTGTGACACAATAACAAAAAAATCAAGCTTTACAATAGAATTTCACAATAGTACTCAATTATGTGCGAATGCACAAATACAGATAAGGTATTTTATGTTGGAAAAATCAGTTATAAAATATGGGTTTGACCCGATTTTGACTGAATTTTTTATGGCTAAATATTTAATTTTAGTTGAATTAAATATTGTAGAAAAATTCTACGTT